ATTATTCTTTCAAATTGAATCTTTCAACCCCATAAGCAAGGTGAAGCTGCACTTGAAGATTATGTGATGGATTGCATTGAAGCCTCCTCAATCAATCTGCTTCTATCTATGAACCTGCTGAAGTGATCCATAAGATTATCTCTCTCTGAAGTTCTCTCTGAAGATTCTCAAGCTGAAAGCACCAATTTTCAAGAATCTCTACAAGAAGCCTCCTCACCCAATGTGCGTTAAATGTCAAATTCTGAAGAAATGCCCAACTGCTCAAGATGAAGGCATTTATTGAAGATTCATCAATTTCATTTTGAAGCTGTGAAGTCATCGTAGGTTAAAGTTGAAGCCAAGCTCCCATTGGAGATTGACAAGAAGAGCCAGCTACTTTTTAGGGAGAGCTTGTTGGGTTAATTAAGAAAAGAAAACTATAAACCAAGGGGGAGAATGTTGGGTCAAAATATGGTTTATACTTTGCTTTTCTGGGCAATTGTATTTTTATGTAATATTTCATGAGCTTACAATCTAGTTTACGACCAAGTGGGGTGTTTACGACCGTAAACCCATTTACGGCCCATGTTCACCAAGCCCATATTCCCTAGTATATTTATAGGTGTTAGGGTTGAGGACTAGATTGATGAACAGAAAAGCAGCGTACAACCTAGAGAGAGAGAATAGAGAGTGTGTGTTAGTATGTGTGAATCTTGTATTCGGATCTTAATTCATATCAATATATACAATATTCATACTCTTCTTCTTCTTCTCATTCTCTTTTATTTTTTATTTGACATCATCCGTTTGATTGAGATTCCGCACCATCAAACAGATCTGATTGATACACAGGCATTCTAGGAACTTTCATGAAGGACTGGTAATGAAAGGAGCTAAGGGGCAAAATCAAAAGAAACGAAAGACTAAGAAGGTTGCACCTTCATAGCCCAAGCAAAAAAAGACTAAGAAACCAGCTCGGAGGCTTATTCTTCAGTCCTCAAGTGATTCAGATTCTGATTACGTCCCTATTGGACATAAACAACCCTCTCCTATTGCATCTGGGAGCGAAAGCTCTGATGAGGAGGTTTCGGTTCATGGTGATACCCCTCCTCCCTCGCCGACTCCAGAGGTACCTGTTCGATCTAAAGCACCATCTCCTCCACCTGCTTCTATTCCTATTTCCTTACCCACAACCTTCCCGGTTATCACATCTCAACCTTCTTTCACGATTCCCATCCCTACACCTATTTTTGTTGACGCTACTACTACCACAACCATGGGAGCTTAGACAAACGTATCTAATACGAGGGTTCATTCTTCTGCACCCGAATCCCCTGTCACTACTCAACATCCATCTCGTACCCGTTCAACTGACCCCAACACTATTCTTGTAGGAGAGGACTTGGAGTTTGATTCCACTTACTTCAGTCCTTATCGTGTTCAGAGCGACAATGATGATGACGTTGCTATCACCAAGTGACATCTTAAGGCTGTGACTGATAAGCTTGATCAATTACTTTCCTCTTCCTCTGCTAATCCCTACTCAGAAGCTGCTCTCAAGGCCCTCTTCGCTTCTGCAGTTAAGGAGCATGACAACTTTTATCTCCAATGCAGTGAAGGCCATTGATGCTTCCACTTCTCAATTCCAGAAGGCTTCGCTTGCAGTGGAAACCTCTATTAAGGATTGCAAGGAAGTGACCGCAAAAGTTGAAAAACTAATCTCAAAAGCTCAAATCTTTCTAGATTCCCTTCAAGCTGCTGCTCAGAAAAATGCAAATATCGTGACTGCTTCAGTTGATTCTCTCAAACGCTCACTAGAGGCCGAGCTGTCACAACTTGGTGTGGCTTGTGAAGCTATTGAAGCTGCTAATGAAAAGCTTCATACCAAAGTTGATGAACGGTTAACTACTCTTGAGGCAGAGCTAGCAGTTGAAAACAAAGTTATGGATGAGTTGGACAAGCGAACCTCTCAGCTCAAAATTCAGAACTTAAAGCTTCGTATTGAGAAGCTATGTCCAACCTTGGATATTCTTAGTTGCATTGAATGTGTTTCGGACACTGCTATTTTTCCGAAACAAGGGGAAGAAAAGAAATCCCAAGGATGCAATATTAACAAAACTCAACCTCCACCTCCTCCAGAACTGAAAGCTACTATTGGATTGAAGGATAATGAAGCTTTGGCCAGTAAAAGTCAAAAGAAAAATAATATCATTGGCAATGATGATGAAGATGATGAGGATGATATTGTTACAGGAGCTCCTTCCAAGTATGATCCAAAATTCAATCCTTCTGAGTAAGAGCTTTGGGAGAAGATGAATCGGTTGGAGAAAGAAATGAAAGAGAAGGAACTTCTTGATAAAAAGAAATCAATGTTTCCCGAATGGACTATTGAATCGCTCCAGAGGGAAGTCATTGATGAACCGAGTACTCATTGGCTTGAACCTGTTTTATCGTTCAGTCTTGAAAACTCAAAGCATGGTCAGTTCGACATGCCAATCAACCGAAAGGCATTAATCTTTCACTGCTTTACCTCAACTGCTATCGTTCCTTCTCCATACCCGAAGGTTGATCGGGATCTGCTGGAATTTTATTTGGAATATGCTCAACCACAATACCTGACCTGGAGCTTGAATAAAATTACAACGGTCAATGTATTGAAGCCCTATTCACCTGGGAAATTTATCAATGCCAAATTCAAAGAGACCCGAGGCTCAGATAGCTCGGTTTATACCATTTCCCTAGCTGACCTTCCGAATCTAAATCCACACGACTAGATACTCCTCAACAATATTTTGCTATGTAATCCTCAAGAGTATCAGCCGATCATTGATAATATCAAGCAAATGCTTGTTTGTGACATTCATGAAGTAGCAAAAATGGATCAAGAGATTGCCACTGCTATTCACAAGCGTACTATGGTCAAACCAATAGGAAGAGCTGGCAATATAAACATGATGATCAAGGGCAAGATTGACACAAAGTTTCATATTGTGATGTTCATTAGGGGCGAAGGTAAAAAATTTCTATTCGCTCTTATTCACAAACACCTATTCTCTACTGCTTGCTTGGAACATATTTTGGAGATCATCCATAGGTGTAATCAGAACAGTGAAGCTGACAAGAAGCTGTTTACTGATATTCTTCGTTGGTATATTCAGTTTTGGCAGACACTTCTTGCTATTATTCCTCGATTGTTAAAAGTTGTGAAGCAAGTCAAGGTCACACAACCAAAGTGAAGGTCTCGCCCCAATTGCACAAAGGGGGAGATTGTTGGGATTATGATGTTGCGTCTTGGGCTCATTCCTTTTACCCTAGTTTTATAGCCGGTTTGGGCCTGTCCAACCGTGCATTATTTTATTCTAAGGTTTTGGTATTTAAGGTGCATGTGTGCATCCTTAGTTGGTAATGCTTTTATTATTTTCATCATAGTATTGTAAACCCTAGCTCGCCTCTACAGTGTAAGTTCTTTATCGAGCTCCGCTGAGGCATGACTACATTTGAATCATAAGCTTCAGATTGATTCTATATCGTGTTCTTTGTTGTGTTTGATTGAATAATTTGTTCTTTATTAATATACCTGTGAAAGATCTAAACGATTTAGAGATTTATTCTGATCACATGTCAATATCTTTTATGTTCAACATTTTTTTGTACCCATCGGTACTGTAATGAAAGTTCTCCGTGAATTTTTCATACTTTCTTTCATCAAACAATGTTGAAGTTAGATAAGCAGTCTATAACCAATATAATTATAACGGATTTGTAAATTGTTAATCATAAATGAATACATCATGTTGCTATAATAATCATAAGTATATACTAAATATATTAATTTATTATTTTTTTTATTCAAAGATGAATACATAATGATATGTGAATTTCAGTTGAATATATATAATTATATTAAAGAATACATCATATTGGTATAATCATATGTGAATTTCATTTGTAAAAAAATATAATATTCATAAATGAATACATCATATTGGTGTATTCATTTATCAATAAAGAAGAAATTAAGGTTAGAACATAAACTTACGGAAACTGCAACTTTCAAGAAGAGTATGTATGGTGAATTTCCAAAATCCCTTTCCAGTTCTTGGTGGTTAAGTAAATCAGCCCCAAGTGTCTAAAACTTCTCCAAAAATATTTTTTCTTACATATAGACTTTCCATAACTGCTCTTTCTGTTACCTGACCATATTTTGCTGGACAAGCACATCTCTGCAAATATATAATCAAAATGTCATACATTATTATCTATATAATAATCATATATGAATAAAATAACTTATGATGTATTCCCTTGCAAGTTGAACAACCACTCACAGACAATACTCTCCTGATGTGTCAGTTTAGGTTCTGTGTATATTATTCTTCATTTGAAAGGTGATTTGAACGCATCGGCAAGCCTCTTCTCTCTTGGTTAATTCGGATCATGCTTTGATGGTTCTACTTTAGTAGGAATTGCTACAGGATTTGGTTTTGGATTAAGAACGTTTTTGTTTGCTAATCTGATAACAACTTTCTGATTGTGGTCTTTGATTTGTTACTTTGTAAGTGGTTTTTTTTTTTTTTTTTTTTTTTTTTTTTTTTTTTTTTTTTTTTTGGGTGAAGATTCATTAGATTTTTTACTTGAAGTTTGATATGAATCTTGACTGATACCTAGACTAAAACTTGGATGAGTATCTGCATGTCAGAAGATTTATCATGTAAATAGTTGTAAGTTAATTATAATATTATTTTTATATTTTGAAATGTTTTTCCAAATTGTTACATCCTTCATTCCCTTTTGTTTTGTCAACTTTTTGTCCTTCATTGTTTTCATTTTCTAACTTTTTCTTTCCTGAAATATAAAGAAATTTGATTAAGTAATTCATTTGTGAATAAGTAATGTATTCATTTAGGAATAAGTAATGCATATCATTATTTATGAATAAGTAATACTATATTTTTTATTTATTTGTATGTTGTTTTATTTATTTGTAAATAATAAAACTTGTATATTCATTTATTAGTGAATCAACTATTTACATCTATCTTCCACATTTCCTTTCTCAATTTATATTTGTTATCTTCACCTGCATCTTTTGGGTTCTTAGCTTCTGCTCCTCCTTTATTTCCATATTCAGAATTTTCCTTGCCTGTAACATATACATCATATATTAATATTTTATATTTTTTAATCATTTATATAGTGTATTATTCACTTATGAATAAACAATGTTATTAAAAAAATCAATATAAATACTGTAATATATTTTAAATCATTCATTTACTTGTATCATCTCCCTTTCTTTTTTCAACTTCTTTTCCTTGTTTATGTACACCTTCTGATTTTTCCTTTTCTACAAGATCCATTTAATGTTATTTATTAACATAATTAATTAATGAATTAGTGAATAAATAATAGGTTGATAGTAACATACCTTGAATAACTTGACTGATCAGAGTATTAGTTTTACTTCTAGTCATTGGTGACTCTGGTCAAAATTTAATAAACAAAATTGGTATTGTGCATTAATATTTTTATATAATTGTATTTGTCATCTTTTCTTTGAAAATCCTAAAACTTTCCTTTTTAGGGAACTTTGTTATCGCATCATTGAGCTTTGAATTCAACTTTTCCTTCATCCTCTCAAAACTATTAAGCATTTTAGATATTTTTTATTCATATGCCTATGTAATAAAAAGAAGTATGATTATAATTTAATGTAATCATATATTATTAACATGTTCAAACTAATTACCTCACCATAATGATCTTCATCTTTATCATAATCACTATCTTCAAGGTCTGTCTCTCCTTCATTTTGTTCATTAATAAATTCTTCATTTAATTCTCCAAGTCTAAATCTGTCTTTTTCTTGTTCAAATGTCTCTCGATATCTAATCTTCTCTAAACTCCAATAACAAATTGTTGGACGTTTACGTGTTACCGTTAAAGCTTCTGAGCGGATGTTATCAGCATACAACAACAACACATAAATGATAACAAATTGTTGGACGTTTACGTGTTACCGTTAAAACTCCAATAACAAATTGTTCGACGTTTATGTGTTACCGTTAAAGCTTCTGAGCGGATGTTATCAGCATACAACAACAGCACATAAATGATAACTAATTCATATTCATGTATAAACAAGTAAATATTAGATTTTACTTATTCATATATGAATAAGTAATGTAAAGCACAACGTGTGAACAAGTATATTTTATGTATTCATTAATTATTAAAAATTGAGTATAAACATTATAATAACTTACCACTAAAAAAGATGAAGGTCCAACAAAGAAGCTTGTATCTTAGTATGGTATGTATGAGTTCTTTGTTCTGAAAAGACAGTCCGAAACATAGCTGCACCAATCTATGTTCTGAAAAGACAGGTTGCATCTTCCCATTGATGTTGACTCGCAAAACGTGTTGACAAAAAGAATTAAGAAGTTCAATTGGAAATTGAAATCAACTTGTGTGGTAGAAACAATAGCATTTTTTTATTGCACTAAGTCGGATGATTGAATCTTTTTTACATTGTTGCTTCCATTCACCATAACTTGTATCATCCTTAGGCCATTGATCCAATTGTGTAAGTATGGTTCCATCAAGTGGTATGCCCAACATGTCATGAACAGACTCTGTTGTTACTTTCAGTTCCTTTCCTTCAATATCTATCACCATTCTCTTAGAATCAAATTTTTGAAGAACATAAAATCTCAGCTTCAGTGGTATATCTGTGATTTTCATTGTTAATAATGCTCCAAAACCAATAGATCTTACACATTCCTTTTGTTCTTTGGTCAACCCAATGACTATAGATAGTAATGACTCCGGTGAACATCTGTTTTTCATTGAGTAAAATTCCTTTACCACTGTTTTTTTTTTTTTTGTCTTTCTTGATTGGTGACTCCTTTTTTTTTTTTTTTTTTTTTTGTCTTTTTTGATGGACGACTACGTTCAAAATCAGAGTTTGAATCATGTAGTTCTCATTTTTCAAGAGTTTTCCTTTTTGATGGACTTTATCTGCTTTGATGCTTTATTTTCTTTGGTGTTTTTGTTTCTTTTTTATCTGGCAAATGAAAACATATAATATTTGAATAAATTATTGATATATGAATATGATATATGCTCGTTGATTTATTAATATTTATTTATTACAAAATATAATTAAGATATACAAATTTATTCATATATGAATATATTAGATATGATAGGAATTTTGTACCTTTCGCATTTTTCCTCTTCAAATATGTTTCTATCATTGTTGTGGGGTCTTTATCAGAAGTAAAAATCTTTTTACCTTCATGAATTAGTGAGTAGAAGAGAATATATTATATTCATAAACGAATATAGAATATTCATTTAAAAGATATTATATGTATTTTATACCTTTTTGATTTTTGTGCATTGATCTTGTTTCTCTCGTTGTTGGTGAATCTTTATTGGAAATGTTAGTGTTCTTACCTTCATTCAATAGTAAGGATAAGATAAATGAGTTTGATATTCACAAACGAATATTTGAATAAAACATATATATTCATATTTTTTATTCTCATAACAATATGTTTTGTTACATTCATATGTCAATATAATAAAAACAATTTACAAATGAATATTTGAATAAAAATATATATATATTCATATTTTTTTATTCACATCGGAATATGTTTTGTTATATTCATATGTGAATAGAGCATATATAAGTCACTTTTGTTGTATTCACATTTAAATAATGTATGTATGATAGTGAGTTATGTTCTATTCATATGTTAATATAACAAAACATATTCACAAATGAATATTTTAATTATATATATATATATATATATATATATATATATATATATATTCACATTTTTTTATTCACATATCAATATGTTTTGTTATATTCATATGTGAATACAACATATACATAAGTTATTTTTGTTGTATTCACATTTGAATAATGTATGTATGACAGCAAGTTATGTTCTATTCATATGTGAATATAACAAAACGTATTTACAAATGAATATTTGAATAAAACATATATATATATATATATATATATATATATATATATATATATATATATATATATACATTCACATATGAATATGTTTTGTTATATTCATATGTGAATAGAACATATATAAGTCATTTTTGTTGTATTCACATTTAAATAATGTATGTATGACATCAAGTTATGTTCTATTCATAAGTGAATATAACAAAACATATTCATAAATGAATATTTGAATAAAACATATATATTCACATTTTTTTTATTCACATATCAATGTTTTTTTGTTATATTCATATGTGAATAAAACATATATAAGTCAATTTTGTTTTATTCACATTTGAATAATGTATGTCGACAGCAAGTTATGTTTTATTCATATGTGAATATAACATACATGTTCAGAAATGAGTATTTGAATAAAATATATATTCACATGTTTTTTATTGACATATGAATATTTTTTGTTATATTCATATGTGAGTAGAACATATATAAGTCATTTTTGTTGTATTCATATTTATAAGTCATTATTGTTGTATTTACATTTGAATAATGTATGTATGATAGCAAATTATGTTCTATTCATATGTGAATATAACATACATGTTCAGAAATAAATATATGAATAAATGTGACAACCCAAAATTTTCCATCCAGTTCAGTCTAACACATCATTGAAAGTCAAACTCATTGCTATTATCTTTTAGCACAATTAGGAGTTTATTTGAGCGTTCTGAGCGTTGTACACTTAAGGAATAAGTGTCGGGGTTTATCTGCTGAACCTATAGCTCAAAGAACAAGTCTGGAACATCTTGACCAGGAGTTCACGGCCACCACATGGGAGTTTACAACCGTAAACTCCATATGGGCCGTAAACTCCTCCTATAAGGTCAAGTTCTGGCCACTTTCTTCATTCCTTTCCTCCTATTGGCCAAAATCCTCTCAAGTATCATCTTGATCTTCGTCCCCGATCTTTAAAACTCGTAAGCTTATTGTCTTAACTAGTTGATATCTTGCATAAACTAGTAATCTTACATGATTTCATCCGTGACATCATTCCAATTTGTAGATCTTCAAGTTCCACCAAGAACACCAAGAACACACACTCGTGTTCTTGGCCAAAACTGACCATTCAAGCTCCTAGATCGTAAGTACTCTTATTCTAACTCATTGTACACTAGGTTTATGATGTTTAAGGCTTAGAAAACATAAGGAATCACGGGATTCAAGGAGCTAACGGCGAAAACATGTTCTTGGGCCGTAAACCCCTTTTAGGGTGAAAATGACACCCTAATTCCTTAGTGAGCCTTGGAACTTAGCATAAAACCTTATACCATGGAACTAGGGACTTCATTACATGATTTAGTACTTCATACCATGAGTTTACAATCGTAAAATCATGGGGAAGTGGTCCCAGGGTCGTAAACACCATACAAGGCCATTCTTGGTCGACCTTAAACCCACCCAACCTCTTGTATAAACCTTGGAGCACTTAACCACTTAAGTTGTAATAGTTTTAAGCCTCATTTGGTGACCCAATTGAGAGTTTACGGCCAGGAGTAAACTCCCATGGGCTGCAAACTCCTTAAGATATTGTCCATTGACCATAAACTTGTTGGGTTTTAGCCATAAGAACATTCCTATGTGCACATACAAACCCTAATGCCTGGATCTAGGTTTCTCTAACTGAACATGCAATATATCCAATACTTTGATTGATAGATCTAGTATAATAACATAAGAAATCAGATCTAAAAGAATACCTTGAATTACTTGATTGAATCTTCTTGTCCTTGGAGCTTAGAGTCACAAATGTCACTCCTCTAATAGCTTACAAACACCAACTAGAAAGAGGATGATTTGAGAGATATGGAAGGGTGAGAAAATCGGCAAGGGCTCCTCCAATACTAAGGGTGCCGATTTCCTCAACCCTATGGGTGTATTTATACTAGTGAGCATCCTAGGGTTTCACCCTTAAACCCTAATTGGATAACTTAGGCTCTAAGCAATCCAATATCCTTATTGATAAGCCTTTGGACGATTTCTAGCCTCATCTAGACCCTAAAATCCGTCCACCCCTTATCCCTAAGGAATCACTGCTCAAAATACAACTATCATACAATCGACAGTTTATACCCCTTTATTCAATTAATCTCTTCAAGTCACCAAATTAATTCCTAATTAATTTCTAACTTATATTAATCAAATAACAATATTATTATTCCTTATATTATTCTCATAATATATTAATAATATTTCTTCTCTCATTATAAATCATCCTGTCAAGTTGCTATGGTGAAGGCAACCCAAAAGGACCATGCTCAATCGGGTCAAGTACTTACCAAATATAGTTGCATCCTTAGATACTATTCCAACAGTCTCCCACTTGGATAAGTCTAGTAACTGTATATACCGATTAGCAATCGTAGCTCTCAAAGACGCTGTCAAACTCTGATCTTATCAATTTTGTCCTTTAGATAAGGGATCGTACAGTCCTCTGTTTAGATATCATGCTATCAATTCTATGGAACCAATTGTCCAGCATTTGGTTTCTCGATCTCGAATTTATTCGACATAGAACTTAATTGAACACATCAATTTAGATCTGACTGGGCCCGGCACATAAGTCAAATCAAGTCATCGAGTGGCCGAGATATCGCTTTTACCCTTCTTAGGATAAAAGTAACAGATAAACTTCGACTTATATGCATTTACTTATTCATTAATCAATTATACACAACAATGCGTTTTATAACATCAATTTACTGATGCGGTTCGCATTATCAATGTACATCCAATTAACAAATAACAAACCATATATCTAGGTTTTATATTATCGTCTTGCGATCAACCTTTTCGTCAAATTCCATAAGGTGATTCCAGGAAGCACGAGTTTGTTCCAATGCTCAAAACTAGTTCATAAGCACTCATGAACATTGCAACAAACTTTTGCTATGTCTAATACCATTTAGACAATCTACACACAAATTCATGACAATCTTCATTCATACCTATTTCCAACAAATGAACGATTGTGGATTGTTTAAATAATTCGATTATTCGAAATAAACTCAATTATTCTGGAAGTCAAAACATGCAAAGTGAAACAATAGTTAAACATTTAACATATGACAATAACTTTACTTATAAATATTAGTCCTTTATTTATTCATCAAATGTTGAATCACATTTATCTATTATAAGTTTCTAAAATTATCTAATCTAATCTAATATCATCTCTCAGCCCAATACTTCTAGAATGCTGCAAATGCTTAACCCTACTCAGTCCCTTCATAAGCGGATCTGCTGGGTTATCTTCTGATGATATCCTCCTCACAACGAGGTGTCCTTCTTCTACTAGATGTCTAATGAAATGCTATTTTCTATCGATATGACGAGATCTACCATGATCCCTCGGTTCCTTGGTCAAGGAAACCGCTCCTTCATTATCATAGAAAATTTCCATAGGCTCCTTTATGGCAGGCACAAGTCCAAGATCACCAGTGAAGTTCTTTAACCATATTGCCTCCTTCGACGCTTCGCTCGCTGCAATGTACTTTGATTCGCACGTTGAATCAGCTACGGTTTCCTTCTTGGAACTTTTCCAAGTTACTGCTCCTCCATTAAGAGTAAAGACCTAGCCCGACTGCGAATGGAAGTTGTCCCTGTCGGTCTGAAAGCTGGCATCACTATACCCTCGCACCTTCAAGTCATCACTCCCCCTGAGGACTAAAAACCATTCCTTGGTCCTCCGAAGGTGCTTAAGGATATTCTTGACCGCAATCCAATGTGCTCTGCTAGGGTTCCCTTGATATCTACTAACCATGCTCAAAGCAAAGGCTACATC